GTAGTAAAGATTAAAAAAGATGTTTCATCGGTCGAGTTTTATTAGTATGGGAGAGTTATTAATGAATGGGCTTCGAGACTTCTAGAGGTACATATATATTATAAAATTAAAAAGTTTTTAATGAGACGTTTCTGTTTTCAGGGAGTGTGTGGTGTAAAGTTGTTTACACATGTCCGCCGAAAATGATCCCGGTAAGTTGAAATTTTAATTAATTTAATAACTTCCTTAGGTATATTTACATGTAGAAAACATGTGTATTTTGAATTAATAAGATTATAATTAAAATAGATCTTCTGTTTTCATATATGGATTTCTTAATATGAAAACAAAAATATAGTAATGTATTTTATAATTATTAATTTCTAGTCAGCTAGTTAAATATATCATTAAAATATATAATTTTCTAAACCACTTCAGAATGCGAAAGTTCTATTTATAGATAATTATATAATCATAAAGATCTTTTACTTTGATACATCAAGTTCTATATACCGCGTGAGTCATCAGTATGAATATTGAGCGATGACTATAAAACCAACAACAATTACCAAACGCCGTTGAAATGTCAGTTAACTTATGTAATTACATAAACATCTGCTTTACTGCAGCTGACGTTGTTTCAAATGTAATTATTATGTATTTCTAGAACTCTCAAGTTTACTCGTCGCACCATTTATTGCATTTGAAACTTGTTTCGTTATTGTGTATATGGAATATCAGGTCCAGTGACATTACATGTACAATAAAATGCAGGTGTTACGTAATGTTTACCAGCTTATTCCTACAGCTTCGTCTGTCGTTAGATAAAGTTAAAAAGCAGCAGAAAGAATCTGTGTTACCTATTGTAGGACTTAAAACATATGTTTATTTAGTGATAGGATAAGTAAAAAACAGAAAATTTAATACGAACAAGACTCATTTTTTCTTTTTTATTTCACATAGCAACAGTTTTTAATTATATTATAAAATATTTTGTGAACCGGAAGCCAAAGAATAAATTGGCGTTGAAGACTAGGAGATTGAATGTAGTTGTTTTAATTATCTTCGAGCTCTTGTTAACTGTCTATAACTCCTTGTAATTAAAACAACACACAAGCAAGCTAAACCTCAGCTCAGTATTCAATCTTGTATACATTATAAATTATATTTTATCAGTAAGAATTCATAACATATAGATGCTTATATTAGTTAACGCAAATTTGTTTTTCTTTAGGCTTCAATGGTCGCTAATCTAAAAATATATTGGAGTAAACTTTAACAAAAGAAAAATAAATAATTAATTGAATTCATTAATTATTATAGTAAATGTACGTTCGTTTAGTAAAATCTGAGACCACTGCTACCTACAGAAAGCTTCTAGTTTATCGTGTAGTGAAATACTCATATGACCCGAGTATGTTTTTCTGGAACCGTGAAGTTAAGATAGAGTACACGTGATATGATATCTTTTATTTTCATTCGCATAAATTTGTTAAACATTTTATGTTGAGTACTTTAATGCGTTGTAGTTGTAACTTGTTACATTACAAACTTATTTACACTCAAAACGGTTGTTTGATAAAGAGTGGTTCCTATTACGTATGGATACGTCATATTTTGCAATGACTTTCATCGGATTAGTAGAAAATTCATGTCGTTTCTAATCTCGGGTCGGCTTGACAGACACCTCTATTCTGATGAACATATAGACAGCTGACATCAGATGATAGTGATTACGTTGAAATTTACATGATATCTTAGCCACAGGGACCCGGCTGTGTGACGTATCTAGCGCTAAACGACCCTACGAGTACATTCTATATACATACATGTTTAATACTTGTTTTATAAGAGGTGTTATTTTATATAACTATAGAAATTATTGTTATTTAAATAGAATTCCAATATTCTATCCTATTCCTTCTATTTTCTCCAATTGATGTTATTTGCATACATTTCAACGGACTCTTTTTCCTGTATGTAGTATTTTAATTCGATGTATGAGGTACAGTTTTAAAGGACACATGTTTCTTATTAAGGTATTTCTCGTTATAAATAATAAACTTTGTGAATATTTTTTTATTTAAAACTATATATAGTTCTATGTCTATTATAATTTTATAAGTAAATAATGTTAAGCAGTAAAAAAATATTTTATTCCTGTCCATTTCCCACGGCTACGCTCGTGTGATCGCATTATTTAAAAATCACAAATGGACATTTTATTTTCTTTATATGGATAGCTGTTTTTTTTTATTTGTATAACTTTAAACAAACTATTCGCAAACTAAGTTTTTAATTAAGTATAATTCTTAGATCATAATTACACGATTTATCTTCTAGTATGTAGAATTTGAAGTTATATAAAAACGGCGCGATGCTTAATGTTTGAACATGAACTTTAAATTAATTGGACCATTAAAATAGAATGATGTCGTAGAAAATATAATGAATACAAACAAAGTCATTCAACTTGAGAACAACAAAGTTAATGATATCTTATGAATAACTTGTCAAGAGCTGTAGGTTGTCTTAACTTTTAGCTCTGAATTTAAAATGATAATAATGTATTTAAATAAAACAAATGAAGACAAATAACTTCACGTGTAATAAAGTTACTATTACTAATTACAATGTTAATAAATTCTACACAGAACTCATAAAAACTTATTATTATTCATTTCAAACACACAAAATATTTTTATTCATTTATATTAAATAAAATACATTCTTGAAATTTGTGGGTAAATACCTCGGTATTGTAAGAGGAAAATTGTACACCATAACAGCTGTTAACTGGAAATAAAGTGAATTTGATGTGGGTAAAAGTATCAGTAATGAGATTTAACTCTTGTAGCTATCTAGCTATTGAGCATATGTTCATATTACCCTTTTATGTTACTTTATAGTTTTTTTCTTGCTGTCAGCAGGTGACCGTGTGGTATATTTGAAGCATAGCGATATGTATAATTTAAACATAAATATTATATATAATTTATATATGGTGATTTTTATTTCCACCTGATTGTGAGAGAATCGTCTCTGGACACCTATAGGTGTTTCTGTCCTTACGTAATTACCAACTAATTATATATTTGTAAATAGTTTAATAATGGTAAATTGCAACAAAAAAGCAATCGGTAATACATTGCAATGGTGTAACAATAAATAGATTATTGTTGAATCTAACAAGAACACGATTTAAAATGTCACGTTTCGAAGCATTGCAAAATAGTGTTACAATACGTCCGTCACGGTAAGTTGAGCGATCTCTGCCCTAAGAACGAGTCCCGACGTTAACATAAAAACCGACAGTCTTGAAGTTTGTCATTCAAAACTCATACCAGCGAAGTTCTTTAATTAGAAACGTCGAAACTCTCGATAATACATTAAGATGGGAATTTATACTAAGAGTATTTGCACGATTCGATTGTATCGATCGTTACAAATATAAATAAAAAAAATCTCCTTATAAAAAAGACCTTTATATAAACCAATCAATAAAGAGCTATTAATTACTACACACATGATGTACAAATAATTTATCTAATAAATTTAATTCAATACCCCCCCGAACTAATTAACAGTCATGGTTTGCATACTCCCAATATGAATTTATATTCAAGCTATAACAGATCTTATCAAATGATAATAAAAACCATAATCGTGGTTTAAAATATCTCTATACAATAGTGTAACAGCAATAGTTCGTTAGTGCTGACGTTCTATAGACAAAAGTGCTGGCTTAACTATTGATTTAGAACCACTACCACGGGTTCGTATAATCAAATTAAGTCACCAGTTTCTCCTTCATATGTCTCCTTTGTTACTATTATGTGCCACGATTCATGAAAACTAGAACCTAAAATTTACCAAGCACTTCGATAGTAAGGGTAACGTATTAATATTCTATGATTTATGTTTTGATATCGGCAATTAATTAACAAGTTGAATATTTTATTTTATAAGATAATTTATAAATTCGTTGATAACAATAATTTATGCTGTCACTGACATAGACCTCATTTAATTCGAGTGAATTTTGCTTCCGATGTTAAATTACAACTTTTATGTTGTTTGTTGAGCGTTATGTATTTTTTTTCATTTGTTCTATAAATATGTATTTTATATATGTATTAACATATATATGCGTTAAATGGATGTGTGTTCGTTCATCCGATTGCGATGAACCTTGGGTTTTTATTCGCGAGGGCGTGAGAAAAATAATGAAACAAAAAATATAGATATATGTAAATCTATAACATTTTTTGCAATGTTCTATTTTGTTAACAATAATACATATATTCTTTGTATTCTAATATACATGTAATTAAATATATTTTTATTTCACAAAACTTTACAGAATTTTAGTAGAAGTGTAATTGTACATAAAAAATATTTTAATAATAGAAATAAACTACTTAAGAATGTAATTAATTATAACAAAGATTAAAAAGTATCATAAAGTATACAGTTTTATAAAAAGGTCTATTCAGAATGCGTCCTTTGTTAATTATCTTTCTTCAAATGACACTTTTATAAATAAGTATTCGCAGAAAATGTAAATTTAAAGAATTCTCCCTTTTTTACTCTCAAGAACTGAATTTATTCAAATCATTAATGTAACAGAATTTTACTAAAGCTGTTGTCTAATTTTTATCTGTAATAATTTAAAATAACGGTTATGTTTAAGTCCATTATTATATAAGGTCAAGATAAATAAAATTGAAACTGATACTTTATTTTATTTCTTACTCATTTAAAGAAGAAATAACTTTATCTATATTAATGAGATCTAAAACTTACGCGAGGTTTATTCATTTAACTGAAACTAATATGTTCTGTATATACTTACTACGCGTGCTTCATTTTTGTAAAAAACTACATACTCCCGACGTTTTAGCTACTTTTCAGCAACCGTTATCACGGGCATGCGAGATTTTATCTATATTCATGTATCCTAAGTGTTTTATCGAGCTTTACAAAGTAAATTATATATAAGAATCCGTTTTAATCGACAGATGATAGTGCGAGTGTGGTGCGAGAGCGGTGCTGGTTGGTCTTCCACTCCTGTGCCTGTTACTCCTCACACCACCAGTCGGGATGTCCTGGATTGCTGTCGGGAGCCAGGAGACGAGCCATGTCTGCTGCTGAGCGTGCATCCCGACCTTGGAGGTATGACACCAATATGACAATGAAACTAATTGTTACCATACTAAAGGCTTTTCGTCCCAAACTTTGCAATGGATATGTGTCTTAGTTTGGTAGGTATGTTAGGTTGTAGTAAATATAATTGATGATCCTATGCCTAACATTTAGTATTTTGTCGTAAGTACTTTTATTTCTAAGTCTATCCTAGAATTATATGATACTCGTTAAAATTAAATAAAATAGCTTATAGAGTTTTTTGTTTTATTTTTTATTAAAGAGTTTTTGAAGTTAATTTTTCTTAGTGATCAGTCACCGAGAAACAACATTTTGATTTTTAAATAACACATTTTAATGAATAAACAGAAGTAATACGTTAGAAAGCAATAATTTGTACAACATTTACATACTACTTTTAGTTTTCATAATCAACTAATAGGAATAGTTTCTTAAGTAATGAAATGATAGCTATAAAAGTGATTATTGCCAAGTCATATTTTATTATCTGATAAGTGTATCGTAAGGGTAAATGAGAGCATTCGATAAATACCTGACGAGCTATTAACTATAGAGTTTACGTTTAAAACTGACACGATTACAGTTTAAAGGTATGAGATAAGTTCTTAATTACCATAACAGATATAAATATGCAATCTTATTACTTCGAATAAGTAAATGAAGTAAGGTTCCAACTATTTCAATAAAATTTTATCAGTAGTATTCATCATATCCCAAAAAAAAAGGATTAAAATTATTTATGTAATTTTAAAAACTATTTTATTTACCATAAAGGCGTATTATAATAAATTTGTATTATATGTAATAAAATGTCACAGAAATATAGTAAATAGTTTGATAATTAATCATTACTAATACAATTGATTGATATAAATTATTTCATATCAATATCACTAATTTCGATATCTTACTTAGAAATACTGGTAATTAAGGCTACTAATAGAATAATTTAGTTGCAAAATGCCAGCCCTTTTATGAAGGGTTGACTGAACAAATAACGTAGTTTCTCACAGAACTCTTCTCCCTTGGCGTCATTAGTGAATCAATTGGGTTTAACGTACCAACAGAAGTAAATACTATACCGGGTCTACAAAACAGTGTGAGAAAATTATAAACATATTAATTTTTTTATGTTTCAATGTTAAATTTATTTGAATTCATATCAAAAGTTCCCACCTTCCATAATGAAGACTAAGGTTTGCTGGAAGTTTTCTTTAAGGTTCTAGTTTGTTACTAAAGTTTGAATTTACTTTAAGCAAACAGTTGAGAAAGTTCTTGTGTTCCTATCATAAAAGATTTGCAAATAAAAGTTAACTAAACTCTCTAAAAGTATGTTATATAATTTTTTTCGCATCATTATATTGTAACCTGTTATTACACGATTTAATTGTGATATGTGAAAGATCTGTTTGATACTAAGATATCTGATCATTTAATTAACTATAAAAACTTCTCCGTTATAAAAATGTCACTTTAATTCTCAATAACAGTACCTGATGGGTCTACCCTGTAGCAAATCGCCGTGGGACAACGAACGTTCCTTGAATTAGAATCACAAATCGCAAATAGCAGCTCTAATCTCAAATAAACCGTATTACATTGTTTTCATTGCTTGTTTACTTACACAACACATCGAGCCATCGGATTAAAAGAATTAATGTATTCTCAATAATCTAATATTTTCATTGCAATTCTTATTTCTGATTTTCTGCATATACATACTCGTATCTGTATATAAATTTAGTTTACGAGTTAACCGAATTCAGCTAATCCAATAAACGGCTATCCGTTGGAATTATTCCATTTACATATCTATGTATTCTGCTGAAAATACATATATAACCGACCAGCTATATAACCTTTTCCGTAACGATGCTTTACTGTAACGATATTCAACTCTGACCTGCATTGACCTTTATTTGCTTGTTAAATCCAGCTGTGAGATTCATTTCGCACAACAGTCACATATAACTATCACTGTAAACGGTGAACATTTGCACCAAGTTTAGTTTGCAGTTCCCTCAACAAAAACGGGACGCCATCGTAATTGCCGTCAGAACGGTCGTCCGTGGGAAAGATATGTCCGAAACGTCATTTTCACTCGCTGCAATATCCAAGGAAAACTGTTGAAGCACCGGCACATCCAATTATCGACGTGACCTAATCCATTAGCATAATGAAAAGACAGAGTGACATTGCCAGTATATTGTCTTTTCTGACTTTGATTATTGAATTTCGATACGAAAAAATGCTTTTTTAATACTAAATTCGTATTGAGTATGTACAAAAATTATTATCGACTATTTTGCTAATGGAATTTATTAAACTCGTAAGCGAATAATATAATTTCGTTCTTCTGATGGATCACTCTGTAGCTATGATGTAAGGCGCGGTGACATGACGATGAATGAGTGGGAACTTAATACAGCTATTTTATGTCTATTAGGCTCCCGGATAGCCAGAGCCTTCTAATATTAGATACGGTATGTTTACACACTTATAGGAACATGTTAATGGTGTTATCTCAGTAAAACTTGCTTATATTCGCAACGAATACAACATTGTTACTATGTAAATATAAACTTAGTCCGCCATCATTAATATTTAATAACGGCTAATGAAAAATATGCAGTCATTAAAAACAAAGGGAGTATGTTTATCAAAATAAAATCAGATAGATCGTAATATGATTTCGCAGAAACGAAATAAGTACATTAATTTCTCATCAGAAAAACATGCAAAAGCAAAATTGCAAGGTAACAACTATAATTTGGCGTAATGAACTCATGTTTGCGAGGTATGAAGACAAAATACACGCGACGTAAAGAGGTAAGAATATGGTTCAAACCGGACGTTGAAGGCTAACAAGAACTTTTACCTGGAAACAGAATGCTTTAAATCTTTTGTTCAATTAATTGTTGAAAGTTTTATTGCTTATTCTTTTTTTTATTTTTACTAGCTGTTTCAGTTAATTAAAGATATTGGTTATATTTTGATGGAAACTTATTTATGAGGGACATTATGATTATTTTGAATGTCGTTTTTAAGTTTTTACGTTAGACTTAATATTGATAAGACATGAAAAATTGGATATTAATAAGATTATTTAAAATTTGTATGTATAAATACAAGCTCCTGTCCAATGTGTTAGCTAATATTTATGATTAAACAAACAATTGCTTTTAATTTTATATAGGCGTTATGGCTTTTTTGTTATAGTTCATTTGACCCTTGACCTTGCTCAGTCAGTAAATAAATTAAATTTAAACGTGAGTTTTTGATAAAAGTTTCATAGAAAAATTTAAAATTTTCATACATACTTGTTTTTATTGTTAATGTCTAAAGAAAAATTATAGGAATACCATAAAAAAGACATACAGATCCTTTGAGAGATACAATGATATTGTTTGACGAAACCCAAAGTCCTTTGTAAGCGAGCATTAAACTGACGTATTTCTTTTATAATTTGAATGAAGCTTTATAAATAAAACGTCTTCTGGGGACGAATTTACATTTCTTTTGGCAAAAATAAGATTGCCTTCAAGAATTTTTTTATAAATTAATAACGCTGTGATCCTTTTTTCTTGGTGTACTGTTTAATATTTAAAAAAGAAGGCTTTTTTATAATAGGTTTCTGCTTCTTATATTTTACAATTGACTTTCATAGTATAATATTATCTTCGAAAAAAAACTTGTAGGTAGATATTTTTAGGCGTATTTTGGCCTTCAGCTTGTTATATAATATGGATTTGTAGTTATGTTATAACTGTTAAGTATGGAATAAAGAAATCACTTTTATTTTCAGTGCATGTTCTTCGTGATAGCGAGTTACCTTTGGAGCTGGCTGCTGCCCTGGGTCCAGATGTCCAATTTGTACTCAAATACATCGATACTGGTGAGTGATATACATATATTATGTACATGCAAAATTAACATTTACACTTCAACCATTAATTTATTTACATAGATTGAATATATTATAATACAACTAAATAAAAAAACAGTACATTGATTAATCAGTCGTTGTTAATAAAGTTTTTACTTTTATTGAAACACGTGAATTTTAAAAGTTTCTGAAATTATTAAATTTCCAATATACACTAACAAAATACGGAATTTTAGAGAGAATATGAACTAAATTCGACGGCACTCATGGAATTAAAACGAAACTAATGAGAAAAGCAATTCGAAGGTTCGTGCTTTGGTTAGTTTATTTAAGGTTTTCCTTTAAAAGGATGTTGTTAGTTCGTAATTGCTCTGTTTACTTATACAATCCCTGTCTGTCTGTAATAAAACTGTCACTGAAACCGTCATCTTTATTAGAAATAGAAAGTATCATCATCATATTCATATTTAAAGTGAAAGTCTATAAATTATAAGATTAAACTACGCTAAAATTTAATACAAAATAATCTGCAAGATCGCGTGAATTTGATAAAGAGATTCAATACTATGATTATGATAGGTATTCACTATAATCTTAAATTAAAATCTCTTAAATTTAAATTGGTTATGGCCGTTAGCCGTGGCCCAGTTCCCATGGAAAATAAAAATAGTGGAGAGGAAATACTCACACCATCGTTACACGCGTACATATCTTTATAAAAGTTGTCGATAGCTATCTTACATCTTGTTAACTTTGAACACATCGATGTGTCTTACACTTAATAAAAAGATTCTTTGGACATCGAATAAAACATTAGAAACTTAGAAATAAATTACTATCAGTCGAAAACATTAGCTGTACCTACTAACAAGCTTTATCTGTACTTTTTGCATTTTAAAATTATTTTACATCATAAAATATACTACATCATTCAAGTTAATAAAGAATTAATTTTAAATTCGAAGTAGTTTATAACAGTACAAGTGTAATCTCTGAGAATATACATTGTTATGTAAAAAGAAAGTCAGTTTTATTATATAAATCTGTGAACTCTCTCCTCTTTTCTTAATTATCTTGTGTTTTTAATTTTATGAAAGCGGTTATAAAATATGCAATAGAAACTGTTCGCTTCAAACTTTTGGTGTGTTATATAGTAATACAGATATAATTTAAGTACTGCATAATGATGTAGGTTTTATTTCCACGTACACAAGACAACTTGCCCTTTTAAGTGACGTATTGTTAAGATTCGGGAGCAAAGATCCTTATTTTTCGCCCTGATTGATGATAGTGATTTATTGAGGATGCTTCTTCCTAAATTGGATTAATGTGATTGGCATTATTAGTTCCTTGTTATGGAGCTCGCTTCTAATTGATATGATCGATTCATTGGCAAATTTATAATTCTTATTAATGGCTTAGATTTTTTTATACGAGTCATATATTATTTCTGATAATACTGGAATATTTCAAAAGAATGTTAATATAACTTTCTATTATGAAATATAAATCAAACATAATTATTATCGAAAACGAAAATGTTAAAACGGAATATCAAAGATGTGATGTTTTGAAAATAAATTATAATTCGTCAAATGTATAGGTATTCTATTTTGATTTATATTTATTAAACATAAATTGGTTAGTACCCGCTCAATAAACGGCATATCTAACAAATACCATGTTATCATTAACAACATCTTCAAAATATTCACACACAGCAAAAGAAAGAGACGCACACATTGACATTAATTCACCTGTTACTATGGTTGTGTTAAGTTGAGAGGCTCTGTTGCTCAGGCGCAGGTTGTAACTTCTCCCACTCTTATACGCCGAATAGTGCTATCTCGTTTTATCGTTCATGTAAGAAAGAGAGAGCGCCAGGTATGTGCTACGTCATAACGTGAATGTCGGTAAACTGGTGTCACTGTTTTATCGACGTTCCAGTCAACTGGATCAACGGTCTTTCCTCGCCCATATCGTACTCAACTTAGTTTTAGCTTACCACCGTAGCATAGCGAGTGTTTTATACATTTAACGGTCGCTTTTTCAGCAATGTTTTGTTCAACACGTCACAAATACAATTAGGCACGGCACATAGTTTTTTAGTGACAACGAGTTTCACTGTAGTGTTATTTTTAACGGTTCGTTTACTATGTGCAAATTCAGGCTTTCATCTCAGTGAATGCTGCCTTAAATCACGCCGTGTACCTCTGTGCAACGTAAGTTCGTTAAAAGTGTTGGTGTTCGAATTCGTTGGTGGATATAAAGGTTTTGCACGTTGTTTATAACAACTTGTGTTGTGTATTGTGACTGATAAAGGATTGTCCATAGAACTTCAGCCTACAACAGGGTTTGTAGAATGTTTTTGTATATGACAACTTTCTAGGCGGTTTCCAGACGCCATACAGCCTTTGCAACTAACCTCCTTTGGTCTATGCTATTTTTTAAAAGCCGATAAAACTGTAACTGTTTAATTCTAAAAGAACTTATATCAAGAGTAAGATTATACAACGGTATTTCGCTTAACAAAACAAACTCACTTCAATAATAGTAACTTACTCGTAATTGTTGTAATTATATATAAAATCAATCAAAATTTAAATTTATGTCTATTTATTTTTATATATATTTTAAGATAACGTGTTCCTTATTACTATTTTAAATTACGAAAACAATCGTTTCCCAAAGGTTTTTGCTTGAAGTGCGTGGATTGGACCGTTAACTCTATAAGCCCGTATGAAATTTCTCTCAACAGTCATTGTATCCCAGATTGATCTGGACTGAACTAGATATATAAATATACATATATACATGAATGCATTGTCTGTATTTGCTGTGCATATCAATCGTATTGTTTGTGTTATTCTAATGTACGGTACTTCCTTAGACATCGCTAACGTTTGTTCCTATGTAGGTATATTTGTTCTTAAGCTAACATAAACGTATTATTTGACGTTCAAACTATAAGATTAATATTTTAACTAGAATACTGTACATATCTTTATAAGCAAATTAAAAAAATGTCTTGGAATTTAAAAATAAATTATTATTATATTCTGGTGAATCAGTCTCAGGATATAGTATTTATAAACAAAACATGTACTGTTAGTTTCTCTGTTTACATATTCAACTAGTCTTCGCAGATATTTTTAAGAATACATTCTAACAGCGATGAAAATAAAATTTAATTGTTATATTTCGTTAAACAACTTGTAGAACCGGAAGATATTTCCTAACAGTTGCTGGTGATTTTGACTAGTTTGTCAGAAAACACTCTTAGATCTTCCCAAGCGGGGCACGTGTGGAATCTCGTGAAAGTTGGCCAACACGAAAGATCAATTGGATGGGTCGTAGAAACCAGTTTCATAAATCGGCAAGTGTCAGTCCATTTTACCAAATTTACGATAAATGATTGTTTTGATATTTAATATCAAGAAATCCACGATCAATTTATTTGTGGCTTTCTGTCCACCCGAATTTGGATATCAGAAGGAGACGAATTTCTTTCGTGACGCTTTAAGTGAAATATTATCATCTTTACAATATTTTCTTTTTTTGTATTCCTCTTCCACTCAACTATATCCATATTTAGTAGAACATATTTAACGTTATATAAATTCATTCGCGATTCGATGTTATCGTCGTCTTCGAATGATTTCTCAGTTTTTGCTTCTCAGGCCACACCCACACGTGGAGGAATTGATGGTCATTCCCCTTAGCACATATTTGGGGTTTATAATGACCAAACTTCCTCGACACGAAGTTTATTACATCATTTCAATAAAAATATTTGCGATCAGGCAATATACTTTCTTGTTATACTGTACCTTGATAAATATAAACCATTATTTTTGTCTATATATTATGCAAGGTATAGTTTTGTTCTTCATAGAAAAAATCCCATGCAATTCCTCTCATGCCATTGTGAATTGTTTCAGTTTAATGGCAACATTAATTGTTAACTATTGTCGCGGCTATCTTGATCCAACTATGGTCTGCCAACAATAGTTCTCAACGTAAAAAGAATACTACAAATGCGGTGAAAAGACTGAAAGCAACTACGTTAAGCCTCATTGAAGGTTTTATATAAAACAATTCAACAGTTACGCATTGAAATTTTTGTTCCAACAAATCTTCTTTTATCCCTTTAAGTAATATCTGTTTATTACTCTTGTGATGTCTGTATACACATCTACCTGTCCCTATCGAATAAAAATCAATTATACCTCAAAAAGCCCATGCTGTTTAATTAACTTCAACAAATTGTCTATAAGCTTTTATCATCTATGTTAAGTGTAAATTTTGTGCAATTTCGTAAGCGATAACTTATCTCAAATCTATTTACATTAAACTAAATAGGTTACAATTGTTGATATTATCGTTATAGCAGCCAGTTTGAATGTACCCAGATTTACAATCAATTTAGTCCATGTATTAAATGTTCAGGTGTTATAAAAATTACTTATTTCTTGTATATAAGTATTTTTATTACTTTGGTAACATGTTAGTTTTATTACTTTAAAAATCATGTGACAATAAAAATATATTACATATATTGAACAATTCTACTCTAAATAAGTAAAAACGGTATGCACAAGGCAAACAAAGTACAATTTACCCATTGCAAGACCAGTTTTTTATCAGGTCAATGACCCAAATTAGTTATCGGAAACCCCAAATGTATTCGAACAATTTATGCATTAATTTATAAGCAAACAGCGACTTAACTTTAGATTATATACAATTAGCCCGTATTTGGTTGTGTGAATGGAATCTTAGTAGGTCCACATTTTGAGGTCATGTTACGTAAAATGTATGTGTTCAAACTAGTTTTAGATGCGGTCCAAATAAGAAATAAGGTCTTAGAATGTGCTGTAAATCTTTTTAAATCTATTATACATCGGGGATTACTGTAACGATACTCTTAACAGGTGAATGTGGGCTTTGTTATATTTACGCTTCATTTAATGGCCTTTCAATGAAGAATGACAACTATTAGATAGGTA